CTTGACCGGCAGCGGCCTGGTCGGTGCTCTGCACGTGGGGCGGCCCGTCTGCATGGCGCGATTCACCCGGTCGCTTTTTGGGACGTGTGGCCGGCCGTGTTCGGCATGGGGGGGGCAGTCTGAAAGTGTGGGGCAGTTCACTAGTGAATTAGGGAAGATCTGCCTTGGGTAGCAACAGCCTCGCGTTGGGCTTGTCACTCAGTGTCAGCAGCACCCGCCGTCCTGAGACTGACAGGTAGCGATATTTTACTGTAAATGGAAAAAAGAGGTTGGAGGGGGGGAGAGGAAATCTTGTCTCTTTCTATTAATATACGTCCCGCCTTTGACGGCGTGGCATTGCGAATACTCCACACTACCCCCCTCCCCCCCATGTAGTCTGGTTAGGGCCTTCTGTCCCCTTAGCTCCCATCCTGCCTTCACAGAAGAACAGAAAAATACTTTTAAAAGAAAAAAAAAAAAGTGAAACCACAAAAATTAAAGCATTTAAAAGTTGTTTCAAGTACTCCTGGGTTTTTTTTCGCTCACTTTGATGTTGATTCTTTCAAGTTGCCATCATCTGAGAGTATTTTTGAGTTCTGAAAACTGATCTTGCATTATGCAAAGACTGTACTGGTATTTGCTGCACCTGTTGAGGGCTACCTGACACGGATATAAGCACGAAAAGGGGGGAAAAAAGCCTGTTGCAATTGCTTCTTTAGATGATAAATATCTAAAACACACACATTAGGTTTTAAAGAATGGCAGGCAAACCATTTTATTAACTTTCTTGTCCTCGTGTCCCCCAGTTACCCGTGCATGTAAGCGAAGGCACTTGTAATTGGAGCCTTTTCCATGGTTTGCAAACATGACGTGAAAAGGGTGTAATTTGTAGTTAGGGATTGTACATAGTAGTTATAGTTAGCTCTTCAACAAAACTAAATACACTCTACACCCAAGTGAGTTATCCAAAGAAATGCAAATACAAAATGTAAATCAAAGTATATTTACCCATTTGTGGTGGAATACTTAAAATACTTGGATTTTTTTCAGTTTAACACTGGTTTTCTGTAGTCTGGGTATCAAACATCTGAGCCCCTCTGCTGTTGCAGCTAGCACCTAGGGATTTAAGTGTTCTCCCTGCATTACCTGCTGTCGGATTTCTGGTTTGCAGTTGCCATTCAGATCTGCTGGAGGAGGGAAGGTGAGTGGGGGCAGGTAGTGGCATTAACCCCTGTGTGCTGGCCACATCGACACAGTGGCTTTAGCAGCTGCAGCAAGAAGCCAGATGGGCCAGATCTGGAAGTGAGACATCTGACCCATAAGAAACCTGACAGTCCAAATCCAGCCTGCCAGCTTGTTAGTTTGACGCTCCTGATGTACAGATACATTTTCTGATTTCTGTGTCAGTACTTCGAAGATGCTGAACTTGATCTGCATAATCTGGCTGGGGGCGGGTCTGTCCTATGAAAAAGCTTTTTTCTAACACTGCTGTATAGTCAGTCTGTATTTCCTGACAGTCTTGATACTTGTGACATGCTGTGTAGATGCTCATAGTCAGTTTACACAGAGCTGATTAAAGGCATAAGGTCTTTTTTTCCCCAACTACCCTAGAATTTGGGTTTTCGAAAACTTGTGCACTGAATTAGGGTAAACATCTACAAGTGATTTCAGTACTTATATTTTTTTCAAATTTTGTGAAAAATCACAATATAGAAAAGTCAGTCTGTTGTTCAAATAATTTGGATTTTAATGTACATATTTATACCACGGCCAGGCAGAAATGCTTCACGTGAGCATGTAGCAAGTAAATGACATTAATATTGAAAATTTCTGCATCTTGCTTATATTTCATACATTATGTTGCTATATTTGCATACCTGAAATGGTTCAAATTAGCAATATGGTCTATTAGGAAATAAAAAAATAAATTTTCATAGAATTCACTATTTTTTTTTACAAATGTTACTATATTTAAATAGATGTCTTGAATACAAATATGATCTTGTTTTGGAAGTTTTGCTTTCATGTATTTGCAGAAAATTGGAACTTCAGTATTTTTCCAATAGTTCTGCATATATGTTCCCCTGAATCTCTTAACTTCAGTATTTTTCCAATAGTTACCATAAAGTTGCAGTTTAAAGGAACTAATTAGATTCCAGTATAAACTCAGCACAAAACTGGAGGACAAGTAAAGATAATTTAGGTAGCTCATCTTTTCTCTGGGGACTGGTATGAGTTATGAGGTCTGTATTTGAAATACTCAAAGCAAAATGTGTAGGTGTTGTAAATGGGATAAGCTTATGGAGTGCCTGCCTAGGTATTGTAACAGTATCCAGTTCAGGCCTACCTGTGGTATATCTCCAGTTTTTCTTTAGTTGTTCATTGATTATTATGTTAAACTGTATATAAATAAATGACATCTGATTTTATGACTCGATTTAAAGAATTATCTTAAACAAAAGTGCATAAAACATGAAGACCTTGATTCTGTATATGTTTATGTTGGACTGAGGCATCCAAGCAAAATCATTTGGAAAAACTTCAGTTTTAAGTTCCATTTCTTATTCAATTTAACTGATTTTTCTTCTGTACTTTAATAGATTTTCTTCTGTACTAGAGGGAGGGGAAGAAGGAACCAAGTGTATTAATAGATTTCAAGATATAGAATAGAGAGAACTTAACATGTGCCATAAATAAGTCTTCACAAATAGTTTCTTTTTAAATATAGAAGCATTGCCACAAACTGAATACTTATCAGCACAAACATCTGAATACAGTATGAAGTCAGTACAGAATATTGTATGTATTTTCATTTTTGATAGATCAAATGCATGCTCAGAAACACAAAAGTAAAGAATACTTAACCATCCACCTGGGAACGTGGGGGGATGGGGAAGGAAATTGTGCTGTAACTGTTTTCAGTAAATTCCTCGTAATGGGAGGGAAGAGCATATATAAATGAAACTTAGCATGGGTTATAATAAAAGAAAAGTAATTATTCCAGGTGTTTGACAAAAACTTTTTGTAGTGTAATCAATATTAAGGTTGACTTGATTTCACTTTTAATGTATTCCAGTGACCTATAGCAGAAGGCTTAATATCAAACAGTTCCAATTAATTTAATATGCTGAATTTACTGTTATACTTCTCTTCTGTTCTATTCTTTCCTGTTCTGAGCAATAGTGAAGAAAAGCCCCGGTCATACCCTGTTCACTCTTCCTTTCAGCTTCTGCTCTCTGCCTCTATGTGACACGGGATACTGGGCAAAATGGACCTATGGTCCGACCCAGTAAATGGCAGTTCTTATGTACCAGAGTTACCCATTTTTGGCTCCTCTTAATAATGTAGCCACCCCTTGGTTTATGGAGATTTTTAGCGTGTGCTGTTTTGCCTGTTTGCTAATGTTTGTCTACAGCCTATTTTCTGTGGAGGAATTGTACCTGGAGTTACGTGAGCCAGTTATCTTTTGTTTATATATTCAAGCAACCATTTCTCATGCATTACACCTGGATGGAAACTGTCACTTCTTTGTGGATACTTCACATTTTTACTCTCCTCCTATATGATAAAGGAAAATCCTCTGGCTCATTTTTGAGGTTGAAGATTTAAAATTTGGTGTAAATGACTTTTATTTTGACTGTGAAAATATCCTCTGCAAATAAGTTTGTATAGCCCCAGTTAAATCAGCACAGAAACGTGTTCCAATCTTGGAACAAGAAGCATCCTCCAGTATTAAAATAAACACTATCTTGATGATGTGCTGCTTTGTGCTGTTCTCAAACTAAAAAGTTCAGTTCAATTTTTACATGATTTAAAGCAGTATTTCTAGGTGGGTGTCTTGTTTGGCAAGTTCTAGCACTAAACAATTTCCTCTACTTAGCTGACTCTTGTGATCATATTCTGAAAAGAACAGTGTATCATTTACCCACTCTGTTGCAGAATGATGTCTTTCAGCTTAATTTTGTAAATATTCTGCTGCTTATTCTGATAATATTTTCAGAGTTCACAAAAGGGTGACATACAACAAACTTTTTTCTCCCCTTATTTCACGGTTGTATAGTGAGTGCATAATTAGGAGGGGAAGGACTTTCACAGGAATAACAGAAGATCCTTTCTGACCTGTCCACCAAGAAAAATGGAATAAATTTGATACTGGGAGCCCTGGCTGAATTTGCAGAGATGCCAGTTGAAAGAAGAGTCTTTCTATGAAGTGAATATATCTGATGCAGAACTCCGAAAGACTGTCTTTGATCACTTTCCGGAATAGAATTCCTCGTTATGTAATCTACTTGATGTGGCATTAAGTTCCCATTCTAGCTTCTCCACCCACTCAGTCTCAAAATCTGCTTCCAGTTTATAAACTTTGGCCACTAATACAATCTCTGCCCAACACCACAGTACTGTGGTTTATGGTTAATGTTTTTAAAAGGAAGTCAAAGGGGAAATAGTTAATGTGTCTTGTGCTTCCAGAACCACGTGGTTCTTTTCAAAACAGAAAATTATTCAGAAATTTTCAGGAATGGTTAGAAACCTACATTCACTTCAGAAGGTATTATTACTATTTTTCATGGTGTACAAGTCAACATGGTGTATAAGTCAACCCCATTTTTCTGATCCAAAAAGTTAGGAATTTCGTAAATCTGGTGTATAAGTCAACTTAACTTTTTGGATCAGAAATATGGGGTCACTTTAAACCGGTCCCTGCATGCCCTCACTGTGGACTGGACACCTGGGGGTTAGATGTGCTGCAGCACCACTCACATGGGACAGGGCTGGGCTTGGTGCTCAGCTGGCAAAGCCCAGGCAGTGCCGCTTGCAAGAGATGGGGGGGCCGTGCCAACTGAGCACTGAGCCCAGCCCTATCCTCCGCAAGCGGTGCTCCGTAGGCTGTGCCAACCAACTCCTGAGCCCGGCATCACTCGCAGGGGACGGGGCCAGGCTTGGTGCTCAACTGGTGCAGCCCAGGCAGCACATCTTGCAGGGGACGGGGCCAGGCTCAGTGCCTGGCCGAGCAGCATCTCCACAGCAACAGCAAGGACCACGAGCCATGCTTAGCCTGGGCCTAGCCCCATGGCCTCCAGCAACAGGGACCTGTCTGTAGGTGAAGACGGTCAGGTCAGTGCCAGGCCCGGGTGGCACTGGGAGGAGGGTCAAAAGTATTGATATGGTATACAAGTCAAGGTTGAATTTTAAGAGTTAAAAATTGGACTTCAAAACTTGACTTAAACACCGTGAAACACAATACTTCAGCTGAAACTGACATCGTTAATCTTTGTATTAAATTTAAATTTGCTGCTTTTGATTAAAATCAGTGTGTGGTATTCAGGTTTTGATGGTTATGATAGGGAAATAATATTTATAATTACACAAACCAATTTATCCTTGAAAAATCCAGACCTACTGGATACTCCAGACCTTTGTACTTTGATTTATGCAGTTCTAGTATTACAAGAAAAAGTGTAAAAATACTTTTTCACTATTTAACATGAGACCCAAAAATCGTTTTTATAAGTGACCCTACAGGTTTCTGTTTTTCTTTGCTTTAATACTGGTAGTCTTAATTATTTGTAGGGACCCAGGTTTTCTGTTTCCCATGGAAAAACTAAGTAAACCATGGATTTCCCCCTTTACTAGAGTAAAATGCTGGGGGCCCCCTCTGGCAGGGCTGGTTGGGGCAGGGGCTGTAGTTGGGAAGTAAAGGGGCAACCGTAAGGCTGGGGAGCTGTTGTAAGGGAGTGAGGGGCAACAGTAGGGCTGGGCGGGATGTGGGGGGAGTGAGGGGCACCAGCAGGGCCAGGAGGGGTTGTGGGGGGCCTTTAATTTTAATTACAGATTTTGGGAGTTTTATCAGAGAACTTGCTTTTTGTTTATCAGGGAAAACCAGGATCCCTGATTATTTGTAATGATAATGGATTTAGGCTTCCACTTTTCGTCAAGGTAGCAAGTTAAATATAACTGGTGACTAAGTTGCATTTCTCCCTTTTGCACTTGTTACTTAAGTTCATAATACTTTCTTTTTCCAGATATTATGGAAGAGGGAAGCAGTGTTGCAGTATTGGTGCCAAATATTGGAGATCAGGAAGCTGTACTAATTTCTGAAACAGTTATTAGTCCAACACTGGAAACTAGTGAAGATGAGAGAAAATGTAAAACTGATCCACTGATCCACGTTATTGAAAAACTAAGCAAAATAGTTGAAAGTGAGAAGTCCCAGAGATGCCTCTTGATAGGAAGAAAACGTTCCCATCCTGATGCTTCTGCACAGTCATTTGAAATGCAAGATCTCTGTGAGATCCCAACTAAAACAATTGAATTGTCTGTTATTGGCACTAAAAAGACTGAGGAGCTACAAGCAAATGACTATGTAACTGATTGTCTTCCACAAAGTAAAAGAAAGGTTATGTGCTACCAGTGTAGCTTATGTAAGTTTCTATCACCATCTCTTTTTATACTACAAGAACACATAAAACAACATGGTCAGCAGAATGAAGTGATATTAATATGCTCAGAATGCCTCTTTGCTTCTAAAAATCGAGGGGAACTTGAAGTTCATATCCGAAATCACCATGAGAACAATGGTGAAAACCACATCCAGCCGAAAGTGCAATCGTGTGTAAATCTCTCAAGTTCATCTTTGCAGGGGCCAATGGAAAGCAGTGTCAAAGCAGGCACTGATCAGACAATAAACCTGGAATGCAAAGACATAACTCAGTCCACTCCTGTGCCTGAAATGGGTAGGAGAAAGTGGTATACTTATGAGCAGTACGGCATGTACCGGTGTTTAATTTGTCGTTACACTTGTGGTCAGCAAAGAATGTTGAAAACCCACGCATGGAAACATGCAGGTGAGGTTGATTGCTCATATCCTATATTTGAAGAAGAAAATGAGTCTGCTAACTTGTCAGATGCAACTGCAACTCAAACACCTAACAGTGTGGATACCGTTGTTCTCTCTCTAGAAAATAATGAACTGGATATCCACAGTGACCATTCTCTTCAACTCCAGATTTGCAGATCTGAACAATTGCCATGTAATTCTTCACCAGTAGTAGAAGACATTAAAGAGGAGGAAGTATTAAGTCAAGCAACAGCACTTTCACCTAGTGGAGAAGTGGTAGAAGAGACTATATCGGATACAGAGCAGGATAACTTGATAAGTGATAGTCTACTTTCATCGGCACAGAAAATCATTAATTGTAGCCCAAATGAAAAAGGCCATGTTAATGTAATTGTGGAGCGTTTGCCGAGTGCTGAAGAAGCTGTCTTACAGAAGCCTTTCTTGATGAACACAGACATTGAGACTGAGAAAAAATTAATCTCAGAGGAATCTCGGGTTTTGCAGGAAAGATCTGAAACTTATCACTCCGATGAAATTGAAGAAGTAATAATAGGTTGGAGCAATACTGATAAGAAAGATAATGATTTAAACACTAATAAAAACATAGCAACTGATGAAAACGCTCCTCCTATACGAAGAAGAACGAATTCAGAATCTCTGCGACTGCACTCATTAGCTGCAGAAGCTCTTGTTACCATGCCTATTAGAGCTGCAGAATTAACAAGGTCTAACTTCAGGGCTTTTGCTGAAGTAAACTCTTTAGACACAGATACAGGACAGCGGCAGCCTGATGGCATGTTTGCAGCCCATTCCAAGGTGGTATCTTCATTTAAAAACCCTTCAGAGGAATTAACCCCCTTAAACCAAAGTGACTGTGCAATAGTGGAGCTACAAAAAGACAAACCAGAGTTATCTGAAGCGCCCATTAAAATGGGCATCAGTATGTCACTGCTCACTGTAATTGAAAAACTGAGGGAGAGGACAGATCAAAATGCTTCTGATGATGACATTTTGAAAGAATTACAGGACAATGCACAATGCCAACCTGCAAATGATGCAAACACGCCAGGAAGCAACCTGGTGGAGTATATACCCAATGTAGACCGGCCTTACCGCTGTCGTCTCTGTCATTATAGCAGTGGCAATAAGGGCTACATAAAACAACACTTGAGAGTTCATCGTCAAAGGCAACCATATCAGTGTCCTATCTGTGAACACATAGCTGACAATAGTAAGGATTTAGAGAGCCACATGATAAACCACTGCAAAACCAGAATGTATCAATGCAAGCAATGTGAAGAATCCTTTCATTATAAGGTGAAGCTATTTCCGTTATCCTATAGCAGCTTTATAGTATGTACTGGTATTTAATTGCTTTGTTATTCTCTTAACTGAATTAAAAGTGCCAGCAAGTGTAACAATTGCTGTGAGATGTTCTAACATAACTTTTGGAGCAGAACTAAACTGGAACTTTAACCTCGTTCGTTCCCAGTTAAAGTTAGTGCTCCAAGCCCATGTATACCATTATAAAAGAAGACAATCATATATCATAATACTATTTTTGTACAGGTAGTAGTTCTTCACTTTTAAAATGGTTTAAAGTTACAGCTGTCCACAGCCTCAGGTTAGCCCCAAGGAATATAGAATAATAGCACTTTAGCTGCAGTATCATTACAGCTGAACTCTCTGATCTGCAGCACTCACGCATTGTGTCTACTTCAAGTCACTTGCCATGGCTTACCTATGGAAATACTCGTCTCTTGTTGCTTTTTGAAAATATTTTTACTGAGGCCTGTCCCATTGATCTATTAATTTTCTTCTTTTGTCCTAACCAGTAGCTATGGTAAAAGGGAATGAAGAATTAGTAGGAGATAGCATTTACTACATAACAGGCCAGGCTTTCAAAGGATGCTCAGTGTGGCCAGTAGTTGTGACTGGGTGCCGTAGCAGTGTCAGCTGTTCTGGGCCTTGACTTCTAATAAGTCTGAGATGGAAGTTTCCTTTATGTTTCATTCCATTGCTGCTTTGGCCTTGATGTCATGCAGAAAGCCAAAACTAAATTCCATGCTAGAATAGGATAGTGCTACTGTCACATTTTCAGCCTTCCTCAGTTAAATAATTAGTGCTACTGAATAATGCATTTTATATGTGATTTAGTGCTTATAAAGGTATAGAGAGTCTTAAATGCACAGAATTTGGACCAACCCAGCAATAGTAATAGGTTTTTCCCACACAGTTTGTTCAGTCTTGATTAGGATGATTACATGCACTTTGAGAAGTTATGTCACTTCCAGATTGACTCTGGTTTTCTCATGGCCAGTATGATCTGGAATGAGACCTTTCATCTAAGCTGTTGGACCATGTAAGAAACCATGTGTGGTGCTATGCTGGGTCACACTTGAACCTGTGACCTAGAATTGATTCCTCATCTCATTAACATAATCTGAGTTTCCCATTCCCTTTTTTCATTTGTTCCTTTTTTTTTTCCATCCCCCATACGTCACTTAGACGAAAAGTATTATTAGAATATTACTATTCTTCAAGAGTGGGGTCAGGATAATATAGGATTAAAGCTGAATGTGTCAACATGTTTAATCTATTTTCTAAAGATTTTTTTTAATTGCCATCCAGTATCTTTTCCGTTCTTTAAAATAATCCTGAAGGACTTCATTGATTTATTAGTGCTGTTCAGTGTGGTGCATAGCATTGTATTAGTACAGTTAATGGATATATTCTTCATACCTATAATTTAATGTACACTCACACTGACTTGTATTAAAATGTTAAAAAACCCTTCAAATTACTGAAACACTATAGAGTGATTGCTGTATGCTTATGGTTATGTTGTTAAGTGTTTTTTAACATGTACATGCATACATCTTTGTGTGTGTGTATGGGGGGGGTGTACCTACACACACACACACAGACAGATATTAAATGTTCCTTGGAATTTTTTTTTTTCCAGAGTCAGCTACGAAATCATGAAAGAGAGCAGCACAGTCTTCCAGATATTCTCTCAGCAGCCACATCCAACAAACTAATTGTTTCCAGTGAGGTAGATGAAACAGAAGGTACTGTATGCCTTTTTTGATAAAATTTTATTAAAAGATTGTCAAATTCATAATGTTATTTATAGTCTTAAAACTGTTTAAAAACTACTTTTGAGGATAAACATTGTCATCCTTGCTCTGACCCTAAATTTGTGTTTTTTCAGTAGGCAAAAACTGGTTAATTTCCACTGTTTTGAGGTACCATATCAGCATTTGAAAAATTGGAAATATTCCTTCAAATATAAAATGCCCTTGCATTTAAAACATGCCTAAGTTTTCTGATTCTCAATTTAAGAAAAATATAAAGACATAGCTATTTGTATACAACCTCCATTATGCATTTGAGCACTTTTCTGTCTTTCCCCTTCCCACCTTACTTGAATGTGAGACAAGCTGTTTTTAGAAAAAATAAGTGGTTTTTTTAAAGTGTCTCATATATTTGAAGGAATATGGTACTTTCCCATTTGATACCATCTTATATGTTTATATATGCTAGAATATTATAAATCTATTCTTCTTTGTTAAACTTCATTATTCATAGACTTAATCATTGATGTGGACTTCTACCTTTTGAGTTTTAAGAAATACCACTTTTTGTAACGGCTTCAGTGTTTTCTAAATTGCAGAGTAGAAAGGGATCACTTCGAAAAAACACGAAGCTCTGAAACAGCATATATGCACAACACACATTTGAATTTCACACTTAGAAATTCTCATTATTTTCTGAAATACAGTGTGTGCTCTACAAACATATAGAAGGATTCTGAGCCTTGGGGGATTATTAATATGAAAAGACAAAATATAAACAGTGAGAGTAATCATATAAAGAATGGTCAGGATTAAAATTGGGCACATGGTTTGTTAGGGAATATTTTACATTTTTTATTTATGTGATGTTTAAGGTTTGCTTGATTAGTGTAGAACTCTAAAAGAGGACAGTGCTTTGAAAGTCCAGGAAAAGAGCAAGAAGTAAGAGGAGTTCAGAGTAAGAATAGAGAGAGAAAGAAAGGTCCCTCTATGCAACCTTGATCAGGCCACAGTTGGAGTACTGCGTCCAGTTCTGGGCGCCACACTTCAGGAGGGATTTGGATAATATTGAGAGGGTCCAGAGGAGGGCCACTCACATGATCAGGGGGCAGCAGGGCAGGCCCTATGAGGATAGGCTATGGAATCTGAACCTGTTCAGCCCCCACAAGAGGAGGCTGAGAGGGGATCTGGTGGCTGACTATAAACTGGCCAAGGGAGACCAGCAGGCAATGGGAGAGTCCCTGTTCCCCCAAGCACTACCGGAAGTAACAAGGAACAACGGCCATAAACTGACAGAGAGCAGATTCAGGCTGGATATCAAGAGGCACTACTTTACAGTCAGAGTGGCTAGGATCTGGAACCAACTTCCAAGGGAAGTGGTCCTCGCTCCTACCCTGGGGGTCTTTAAGAGGAGGCTAGATGAACACCTTGCCGGGGTCGTCTGACCCCAGCATTCTTTTCTGCCTGTGGCAGGGGGTCAGACTTGATGATCTGCTCAGGTCCCTTCTGACCCTACTAACTATAAAAGCAGGGCAACAAGTTTGAACTTTTAATTATTTGTCCATAACCAGAATAAAATTAGATTTCTGTTTCCTGGCTCCCAGTTGCACTATTCTGTAAATCCATTCTACCTCTTACTGCAATTTTGAATTTCTGATTTGTATATTTAAAGTTACTTGCCTCATCAGCATTGTATAAAAATTACTCCTGCTAGCTCCTTTTTGTTCTGAAAGTGCAAGGAATTCGGACCTATATTATTTCAGGAGATTGGGCATAGTGTTTATTACTTCCTTTTAGATTCAAACCTGAAATAGCCATAGAGCTTTCAAGGAAGAGCTGAATGACAGAAGAAAAAACAGTTTTCAGGCAATATTTATTCTTCAAAGGAAGTAACTATCATTCTCAGGGAGGAGATGAAAAGTAAAAGTGTTCCTGGTTTTCCCTTGGATATGCATGTATGTCTGTACCTCTGGTTATCAATATTGGCAGTGCTTACATTTGTTTGAGTCAAGATTTATGAAAATGGCCAATGATTTTGGCTGCCCATAATAAGAAACTTGAAAGAGATCTGATTTGCAAAGGTGCTGAGTGTCTATCTTCTGCAAATTGGGTTCAGTTAGGATGACTAAGCAAGGAGGAAGACTGCTAATCACTTCTGAAAAGATTTTCTTTAACAACAAAAAACCTGTTGAAGTTGTTCTTACGAACTGAGGGGCTTACATTATAAACCCTGTCCCAGAGGAACTCCTGTTGAGGACACTGAACCTGGCTTTTATTTATGTGCTTGAATGTTTTTATAAATTTTAGTCATATTTGTCTTGTGTAAAACGTTAAGATTCATAAGCTAAGCTTTAAATGGATTTTTACCCCAAACCAAAGTTGGCAGTACAACTTCAATTAAAATAGTTCTTCTAAAATTTCATTAAATTATACTTTGGAAATGCTGAAATTATTTCATAAACAATTTACAATCAAATTGTGACACCACTGCAGTACAGAAATCCTCTTGTCAAACAGATGTCACCCCTATAAAGCTTCCCAAAACAGAGAAGTTTATGGCGTAGCATCTGTTTACGGGAGAGATGTCTGAGCTGAAACAGTTTCATTTCTTGTTTATGAAATAGTCAGTCTTAAATGTCTCTTTATTCATCATGGTTGTACAATAAATTTAAAGGACGCATTATGACATTGGATATGATTGGATTGTAAATGCCTAATAATGAAGGAATACAGTAATATGCTGCATTATAGTAGCACCTGTTATTACTGCAAGAATAAAAACCTGTCATTTTCCCCACTCGCAATACACTCAGACCCTTGCAAAAATAAAAAAATTAAAACAGCCTGGGGAAGAAACAATGAGAAGAAAATATAACTCCTAGACTGGCAGTCTGACTACACCATGAGACAGTATGATGGATTGTAACTTAACTGTGTTTTGTTAAAAGAATAAATCTTAACTAGTGACTGGTATAAATAATTGCTCCTAAGTGTGTGCTTACTAGTGGTTAGCCACTTATAACCTTGCAATAGATTATTTGTTTCTAGTGTCCTTTTATCATCTCATTACTTACTATTTGTTTAAAGCATTCTAGCCAATAAACTACCCAGTTCATTAACAGAAAATTAAATTTGGAACCAAACTCTTTTCCAAGAAGGAAATAGAGGCTGTGGACCCTTTGGGGTATAGTTTTACCCAAAGGTGACATGGTATTACAGAAATCACTTAGGTCTTGCTCTGTGAGGAGTGCAGCCTCAAAAATGGGTTAATAATCCACTCAAGAAGTGTTCTGCATATATAGACGTATATTCACCTGTAAAAATGAGCATGGCTTATGCATTATAAAAGTCTCTAAACACGAACTTAATACAGCTGCCATTCTAATTTCATAGAAGACATTTTGGGGGCAAGATAACATAAAAATAACTTGTATTGAGTGCTTTATAGAGAGAATTCTGATGCATCTGCATTCAAAAAAATATAGATCGTATATACTACCACATTGCTTTTTTGGCCAAAATTTCTGAAAAATGAGCAGTTTTCCATGACATGCTGTGGTTTGGGGGTAGAACAGAGTGAGTTAAGGAGGAAGGGGTCACTGCTTTTATCTGTCCACACAGAATTTTCTCGTCTTGATACCATAGTGCAAGTGCTTCTCATAGCCCAAGTGACCTGATTGTGCAAGTTGAAGTGGAATTCTGCCAGTCTACACCACCTCCATACTGAACCCTGAAGCACTGCCCATGAAGCACATCCTGCCTAGTTGTTCCCATCTCCACACACCAAATTGGGTAAATGAGGCAATATGGCTGCCTTAAACTGGTTCTGGGTGTGCTTATGCTCTTTGCCTCAGGAGTGCTTAATGGCATATGCTCTGGGCAAGGGGTTTAGTGAATGGATTTCACTTGAAGGTTTAGTCAGTCATCTAGCGGAAAACCTCAAAAACACTTTCACATGACTTATGTGCCAGATTATGATACAGACTGAAAAGATATTTAGAGAAGTGGTTTTTATGAATAATTGTAGTGGTTTATTCACTTTGAAGACATGCTTACCCTAAAGAATCAAGAGATTTGAGTTCTCATACGTCCTGAAATAAAGTCCTTAATTTCATTCCATTGTTATTGGCAAGTCATGGTTTTGCTAATTTAGGTGTAAAATCTTGCATCCAGGCTAGTGTTCATTTTGATCCCTCTCTTTTAAACTATTTGTCTTGCTGTTTTAAATATGTATCATCTTATACCCCAAAGTCTAGGACACTGTTGGTTGCTTTCAACAGACATTTTAAACCCCACTTTTGTCATTGCACTATCGGGAACAGTTGTTACGCTATCAAAACTGTCAACCTGCATATTGAAAGAATAGGTAATCATAGCTTTAAGTATATACAACATTGATAACTACCACTGCCTGTGTTCTGTCCATCAAATTCTGTTTTAGGAACATTTATAATCAAATATTTATCAGCACCAGAATCACAGGAGATTTCAAATTTTAGAGCTTAATTGAGACTTTTTTTTTCCTTTTCTTGTTTTGATACTGTTCTCTTGCAAATGCCACTTGTACCTTAACAAGTTTTACCTTTTGACCTCTTCTTTAGTCCAGAAAGTTTGGCCTGTGCTTTTCTTGGCAAATGCTGAAGGCAGTTCAGGCTTGTCAACACATTTTCCTTCTTTTTATCAGATTCTGTAACTGGCAACATAAGCAGCTGAGACGTTTAGGACTCCTGTCTTACTGCAGTCCTAGCAGTTTAGGACTCTGTTTACTGCAGTCCTAGCTTTAAAGTCATATTTTAAGGCAACACTTCACTTTCTTCATTCAGGATCTCCTATCCCAATCTCACTCCTGTATTCCAACTCTGGCTATATAAGCCTTTCTATTGAGTGGTAAATCTTAAAATAGGATACCTAGCATAACACAGACCTTTCCTGCCCTTGGCTTTCATGAGTCTTTTGAGGGGAAAAAGTCTTGAACAGAACTAACAGCAGAATAA